GCTGGCTGGGGAATTCTGGGAGGTGAAGGCCAGACATCTTCAAGTGGCCAAGGTTGAGAAACACTGCTTGTAGCCTCAGTGCTATGGCTTCAACTCAAACTGTCGGGCTGGCTGTCAAATATGAGACAGCAGTGTCACTGTCAAGTTCCAGGAAAGTGGAAGTACATAAAAATGAGTGGAATTTAAAATCAATGAAAGAGGTGCCTTTGTGCTGCCTGACATCCTGGGTATTTGACACATGCATTCTGTTTCTTCCTCCAGCTATGTCTGGGGCCTCTTATCTGTTTGGATTGGGGGAAGCAGCTACTGTGGATTACATGATGAGACAGGCAGAGACTATGCATCAAATCCTGATTGCACTGTATATAAAAATGAGAGTGAATGGGGATCAAGAAAAGGAACTGGTGTGCTGAAAATTAACCTAGAGATCAATTGGAAGAAAAGGGAGTTTTGACATATGATTTCTATCTTCCTTGTGAGGTTTCATCATTCTAAGGCAACAGTTGAATTCTGGGGCTGTTTCTGCTCCCAGTTGCTGGAGGGGCAAAAGGCAAGCAATTCCTGTTCTGTATGCAGAAAGGAACGCATGTATTTAATTTCTACACAACACAATCATTGTTAGAACATATTGGGCTCCAAATGCATATATGGCCCCCAAATTGTTTTAGGGTAGCCCGGAATGTTATTTCTAGCAGCTTAAAATCAATACTGAGGTTTTCTGACATTTTAGGCAAATTCGGAAAAACTATAATATAAAACCTAAAATAAGATTAATTCAATTACAAAAGGGAAAAATAAAGAAAAGAAAAACTCCTTTGTCCCCAACCTCAGAAAAGCCCATGGTCTTTTCTATATGTATGACATAATGGCCCAGTTAAATGCAACCTGTGGTCATGAAAATGAAGCCTGCTGCTGTCTCAAAAAGAACTTCACTTTCTCTAGAACTGATGTTAAACTTATTTTCAGATTTATTTCAGATTACCGATACCTTAAATTCAAGTCCTAGTAAGGGCCATAGATTTAATATAACGTGTTCTGACCTAGGCTTCCCCCAAAAAGCATGAGATCCTGGTCCTGACAAAACCACTTTTATTAAACAAATGTGAATTCATCTCATTCACATTCAGCAAGGGTTGGCAAACAGTCTTTCAAAATAATATTTATGACTAAAGGCCTTATCTAACTTGGAAAGCTGCCATGTAAATATTATCCAAATGAGGTGCTGTGCAAGGAAAGACTGGGCACAGAGTCTCTGAGATTC